CTTCTAGAGATCTCAGGCAGGGAGCACATCAGTCATACAGCTCCTGCACAAGACCCTGGCAGTGCAAGGTTCATGCTGAGGCCTTTGGAGGAGAAAAACTTGCGAGTTTATGCCCAATAACCTTCCCTTTGACCTTCAGAGCTCTCTGAAGCATAGACTTCCATGTCAGTGGCTCAGTTCCCCAAACCACTCATTGTTTCAAGAAATCTTCATTATGACTAGTAGAAGCATGTTCAAACCACTTGCTTGTTTCCCTCTGCAGGGTCTTGTAAAGATGAGATAAGATTATCAGCAGTCGCTCATTCTCACTCATTGCACTACAAGTAAGAATCACTCAGTCTGAATGTCAGACTGATTGCTGACTACTAGCATGCCTAGGTACGCCTGTGTAAAATACACAGATGAGGGTTCTTGGTTCAATACAATATATGAAATAGCATAATAGTTAGTGCTGGTAGAAGCTCTACGTTTCTATTCTGAGCACCAGAGCTGTAATATTGTTGAGCCTACAGGAAGCAGATGACCTTCAGGCCTCCTGGAAGATCCTGTATCTGATCGCTGTATGCCAACTAAGAATTATTCCCTCACATCTTCTTAACAAACTAAATCTAAGATATGCCAGAGAGCTAAAGAATCTGGTAGAACAGGTCAGTATAGAATATTTAAAAAAACAAAAAAAAAGAGATGATATTTCTTTGGCCTAGGATTTCCAGAGATATCACTGCCTTTCAAACCCCATAGGCTCAGTCTTTGTTTAAACTAAACATCATGCAACATAATTGCTAGAGACTTGTGGGATGAAGTTACATGTTTTGTGCAGACAATTACCTACTACTCCAAACATCCCTTTCTCCCAGTTCACTGTTAACATCATGTGAAAAAAATCAACACGATACTGGAAATATTTGCCTATTTTTTATAACAATCAGAAGAAATAAGCCAATGCTTTATTCAAAGTGAGAAAAAAAAAGAAAGTCATTTGATTTTCTTAAAACTTTTCAAATCTTGATCTAGCTTTATGTTAGAGTCATGTCTCTAATGAGGCGGGACACAAATCTAAAACAAAATCCAGAAAATAAAAATGTCATCAGAAGACGAAGCATTTTTATTTTTCATTCACAATTAGAAACAATGTAAGGAGCAGATGAACAGAAAGGATCAGAAATATCTTTATGGTCCCTGACCAATTTAAGATCATTTAATCCCTATCTCAAGGTGAGAAAGAGTAACTATTAGCTTTTTAATAGCAGCAAAAAAAAGATCAAAACTCCCAGTATACAGCAAGAGTATTACTAGGAAGGAAATTCTGTAAGCTCTAATTATTCACGTACAGAAACTGGGAACACCAGTGTTCAGACTCCTTCCTAATTTCTACTCTCACTTACTCCACCTCCTTTCTTATACTTGATTTTCTTTTCCTTTTTCCTCACCTTCCCTCACCCTCACAAAGCAGTTGAGATGTTCACATATTTACATAGCACTCACGGCAGCAACTCTGTGACTAATACAAACTGATAAATATGTAATGCGATCTTAAAAAATGCATGTGAATTATGCAAAAGCATCAACTTAATGAGAATTTTCATATTGTCCCTTTATTGCATTAAGGGTCAGTTTGTCTTACAAAAGGCATCAGAATAGATCACTTGTATACTGAAACCCAAATAATTCACCTGACTATATAAGGAGAATTATTTGAAATTAGTTAAATCTCTGGAATTCTTCTACCACAGAATGGGATAGGGACTTCCATCTTAACAGCCGGCTTCCATCTCAACAGTCAGCAACCAGAAAATTTATAAGAGTCTTTTCTGCATCTAGAAGATTGTCATAACAATTATTCATTTTGGTTTCTGGAACTGAAGGGGTGATGTTCATACTTGCAGAAATGTAAAAACAGAAAAGGTTCCAAAGTTTTCATGTCATTGTCATTGTTCATTATCATAAGAGTGATTTTTTTCTACTGATACTTTAAGCATGACATAAGTGGGCTATTATTTGTGCAGTGGCGCACAAGGAGTGTCCATATAGGAACCCACAGGTATATTAGAAATGCTTGTTCTTAAAGCTCACAGATTGCTACCTTCAGGTATTGCCTACTATACCAAGCACCAGTCTGTCTGGCAAGACGCACAGCACCGTACAAATTGGGCAGGTGTCTCAAAACTTCAGCATTTGCAAATGAAGCAGCAGCAGCACCAGCAATACTCAATACAAAATCTGACAGAAATTATATTTTCATGAAACTCTCCAAATAATTTTGAATGGACATATTCTTAGTAATTCCCAGCAATGTTTGTTTGGAAGCAATTAAACAAAACTTTCTTTAAAAAAAAAATTGCTTAGTTCATTTTTTCCATCTCTTCCAACTCATAGTTCAACTCCAGAAGTTTCACTGCTGTTTTTATAATGAATGCTTTATTATTTTTTTTTTTACCTGGGTCACTTCCCAACCATGTGAAAGTTCTATCTCACTTTTTGTCTTCAGCAGTTTGAAAACTTTAGAGAAATCATTAATATTAAGAAGAATGCAAAGGATGATAGTTTTCTCATCTTGCCTTTGTTTCTCTTTTCCTCTGGGCCACGTAAGGATATTCAAGTCAGCAAAGACAGTATTGCTCTTTAAAAAAAAACTGCTGATTTAATATTTAGTAGATGATGGATTCCACCTCAACAATCAGATTCAGGAATAAAAATAGTCTGAATCCCACTCAGTGCCATGCACAAATCCATAGATAGAAATCCAAAGTACTGCACAGCATAACATTTCCCTCTCGGTGAGATAGAGACAAGCAACTGTGATTCCCTATATATAAACATACATTCTGAGCTGATGCCTGTCAAACAAGGCCCTGGTTAAGTGGCAAGCATAATATTGCTTCCTTTCCCCAGAGGTAACTGTCCTCATTACAGAAGCGCATGAATCCCTAGGTGTATAATAGAATCTTCTTTAAAATATTCATTACATGATAGTGGATATTTCAGCTGGAATTTGGCTGGAATGCTCAGTTTTGGGGAATTTAGGAATTAACCCAGTACTTTGCTCGCTATCTGAATTTTTTTATAATAAATCATTAAACAATTATGACAGCATGTTACGCTGCTCTCCTATTCTTTGCTGAGAAGGATGTGCAGATGAGGGTTTCCCTGCTGCAGCAATGTCCATTAACACATCTGGATGAGCAAGGCTTAAACTTTCCACTTACACTCAGCTGAAATGCACCGACATCTCCAAGGTGAGTCACACCGCCCAGCACGGCACGGCTTCCTTCACAGCTTCTTGGAACTAGCACTGTGGGCTGCAAAAACGTGCCTCTGCCAGAAGGCCCTCAGAGCAGGGAAATAAAACAGGGCCAGAATACTTCATCAGAAATCAGAACAAAGCAGCTATATACAGGAAAAAAGGGATAGTTCAGATGGCGTGTAAAATGCCAAACGTTCCTTTTATTTTTGCTTCTCTATTCTTATTTCTTTCTTAAAATACTGCAGTTTCCTTTCTCCTCCTCTCAGTGTTTTGTCTCCATGTTTCCAGTAATAGCTACAAACCTTGGGAGCTCTTAATTCCACTTGCCCCTCCACATACCCCTTCCCTGCCCTTTCAGTTCCATCTTTCGCAGCCCTTCCCAGCTCTGGTTTCACAGAACCATAGAATCATTTGAGTTGGAAGGGACCCCTAAAGGCCACCTGGTCCAACCCCCCTGCAATGAACAGGAACACCTACACTACTAGATCAGGTGATCAGAGCCCCGTCCAGCCTGACCCTGCTCAGGGATGGGGTATCCACCACCTCTCTGGGCAACCTATGCCAGTGCCTCACCAGACTCATCGTAAAAAACTCATATCCAATCTAAATTTGCTCTTTTAGTTTGAAGCCATTTTCCCTTGTCCGGACACAGCAGACCCTGCTAAAGGGTCCCCTTCTTCCTTACAGTCCCCCTGTAGATACTGACAGGCCACTCTCAGGTCTCCCCAGGCCCTTCTCTTCTCTAGGCTGCACAGCCCCAGCTCCCTCAGCCTGTCCTTGTAGGGAAGGTGTTCCATCCTTTCTATCACCTTGTGGCCCTCCTCTGGACATGCTCCAACAGATCACATCTCTCCTATACTGAGGACTGCACATTTATGGCACATCAGAAAAGCACAAAACCAAACTCTACCCGTGCCAAGAAAATGGCATAACTGTCCTGCAAGGCTATGCAGGAAGGTCACACAGCACTTGCTCACCTTCAGCAAAGCCTTTCTGACATCAGGTGCGTTAACACAGCACTCCAGTGCAAAGATGTTATTTTTAAGTGATTTCTCACAAGATTAGGATTGTCTCTCCTTTTTCACATGCTATTCAAACACTGGTGACAAAAGTTTCATCCTTACTCTCATCAGGACTTGTTTGTCAGCAGAATCACTCTTTAGTTTTAGTCATTTGCTCAAGTCTTAATCTACTGATCTCATTATGCTGCTCTAATTAAAATCATTTGCTGATGAATGTTGTCAGTAATGTTGCAGTTGGCTAAATTAACACTGGCTTAGCCTGAGCTCTAATATCAGCTTAACTATGCAGCACTGATTGATGAGCATTTAAAAGCAGGAATTCCTTTCTTCAGGTCAAAGGCATAAAAGGAGAAGCTGAAGATGTGAATGTGATTCATCAACAAGTATTACCAAAGAAAGTCGGATACAATCTTGTAGCAAGCAAACCACGTGCACCACTCCACAGCTTCCCTGCAAGATGGATCATCACAACACAAACGTATTTGGCCCAAACAGCAGGAGCAGAGTTTTATGTCATGCTCTGAAATTGTGGTTATAAGCAGCATATCTTGTTGTCTGGCTCTTATTCACGTCTTGTTTTTTTTTTTTTTTTTTAATAAATACAGTATTTCTAGACCACAAGTATTCTTACAGACTAAAATTAATTGCAATATGCATCACCATATATGTCTAAAGGATAGGGATGCTGGAATGTTTTACAGTGAAAACACATCCAATTTTAATGAAGTTCAAAAGAAGAAATGTTTATTTATGGATTAAAGTACACAAAGATCTGCTGCTCAGAGCTTCTGAAATACTGACAGCTTTTTTTTTTTTTTGCTTTTTTTTTTTTTTGCTTTTTTTCTTCAAGAGAGAGAGAACACATGTGCAAGGGAAGGAAAGGCTTCGTATGTTGTGCTGAGCTGTGGTGAGTGGATCGATGCTCCCAGAAGACAGGCAGAGAGCTCTGGGCCTTCTGACACTGGCTGAGAGCAGACGATACACGACTGAAGTCTGAAGGCAAAGTTACCTCTCAGAGGTTGTCTCTGGTGAAAGAGTGAGATGAGCTGATAGCTCATACAGCTGCAGGGGAATGTCTCAGCACGTCCTGAGACAGACTGCATATTTCTGTCTTTGGGTCTCAGCTTTGCTGCTGTTCAAACTCAGTGACATCACGTTAGCACTCCTTATTCTGGAGAAAAGAGGTGGAATCCAAATTAAAAGAATAACCCAGAGATATTTATTTTCTGTTTAGTAGTTTCTTAACAGAAAAGAGTATGACTGCATATCTAAAATAGACCATTCACCCAAGATATAAGTAAAAACAACTTTAGAGAAGATGTGGAGGTCTCAAAATGACATGTAAATGTAAAAAAAAATTAAAAGCCTGGCTCTGGGACAGGAGTCATGGAACCAAATGACTGCTGCTGCGGGCAGTCCTCAAGATCACACCAACTTCTGTTGCACAGAAATACTACTGGGAGAACACTGGCCTCACAAAAACATGGTGAAAAGCCTGCTTGGGTTCAGATATTGGGAAAAAAGAAAATGCTGACAATACCAGAAGACTGCAGCTGTGCATAACCTGGACTACTCCACATGATATGATCAACAGGGTCCAGGTTTGCACAGGTTCCAGCAAGTTATCTAACACAAGAAATCCTGACTACTTTAAAACAGAAAGAAGTTGTTCTGCCATTTTTCTGTTCAGGCCATCTGTCTGCTTAGTTCATTTTGGGGAAGGGCAAAAAACAGAAAAAAAAAAAATACAATAGGCAGGTAATGCTTACTGCTCCCAGGACACTGGCAACACCAACCTGCTGTCAGACTGACATCCAGAGACAAGAAAAGGTACGCTCTGTTGGTGTTAGAGTCTGAATCCTCTCTGTGTTCAATCCGTGGAGAACAGTAAGTCCAGAGCTGGAGCATAACTGATACTGAACAGACAGGAAAAAAAAAAAAAAAAAGGGGGAATTAGAAAAAATGCTTTTTAGTAGGCCAGCTAACAGCATGCTGCTGCAGCACTCTGCCTGAGGCCATGCAGCCTCAGCTGCACCATCTGCACTGGAAAGGTGCCAGAGAGGAAGGAGCAGCTGAGAGAGCAGCACTTCCAGGATCCAGTTCAGCCATGGCTGTTCCAGGCTGTGAGTTCACCTAAACCCCCTTCTAAGCTCCTATTTCTTGTTCAGAGGCACCCACTTAGTTAAATTGTTTTTTTCATGTGTCCTCCACTACTCTGCTGTCTTAATGACTTCTTTGCCTGTGGGTTCTGGTATCGTTTGCCTTTCCAGTGCATCGCTTACTCCCTGAATTCATGAAGGACAACACCCTGGGCAGCAGCATGGTGAACTGCCATTCGCAATGGAGGCATTAGGCACAAAGAAGAAAACACAAAATGAGGTTTCTGTAAGAAAAGAGCAGAACTGCTCCAAACTCTTGGTGACATCAATTACCAGAGATAGAAGATGTTTTTTCTTGTGTTCAGCAGCAAAATTCCCATCGACTTTAACATTGTAGGATATGTCCCTGCACACTGAAACAAATTATCTGTATATGGATGCAGACAGGGAGAACTGGCCTCCAGCAAAGCAATGTTTAATCTTTCAGTTCTGAGGAGCAGCAGTAAGAGAGTCTCTCCCTTCAATCTGCATCTCAGTGAAGTCACCCCCAAAGAGGTGCAGTGTTCTGCATGTCACTCCTTTGTTTTCCTTTCCCTGACATCTTATCATGCTTCCCATTCTTTTTATACGTTTCCTTTTGATACTTGACATGCAAAAGTGACTGGCTTCATACGAGGCCATAATGCAAAAGTATTGATGCTTTCTGAGCATACACAGGGTGAGATGAATAAGGAATAAAATCCAGCGGTCTCCCACAGGTGGGAATCTCCCAATCAGGCTGTGGCAGCTTGGGACAGCCAAAGGTCCTTCAGAGTGCACACTGACTGGATACCACAGCTAAAATATATTGCTCCTCTCTCTGAGATGTCAGTGTCAAATTGAAGTTGTCTTTACCAGGAGCAGGAGAGATATTGACATGGTGGGAGGCGACCTGCTGTGTGGAAAGCACACATTATCTGGAAACTTCATTTTAAAGAGAGACTTTGGTAGAATCTACCATTGTTTTCATCTGTAAAAATGGAATTTAAGAAAAAAAAATCTGCAAAGAATTAAGAAAGCCACATTTTCATAACCCCCCCCCCCCCCACTTGCATACAAATAATTGTGTGTGTAAGATTTTTGGTACTTCACTTTCGCTTATTTCCCCATTGGCCTCACTGCTACATAGAGGCACACTGCCTTGCTCCTAGCTGCTCGCATCCCTGAGGTCAGGGCAGGACCTGCTTCTACTTGCTGCAAATGGCTCTGTTATTTCAGAGCGCAGAGCAGAATGGAACAATCAGAAAAGTACATATTAGGCAGGCAATTGCAAACATTTTGGTGCTTGGGATTTTGAAAGAGGTTATTCCTATGACAGAGTTATGTGGAATATTTCTGAAGCATTCAAATATATATTCCATCCCTGGGGCCTGGACGTGCAGCAGATGGATTACAAAATCTGACTTGCAACTTTTTACTATCACTGCTGACTGCGGCCAAAGCCATCTCCTTTGATATCTCCGACATAATCCCATCATCACTTCAGGGAATACAAAGGGATACCTGCCAGACAAGGAAAGGGTGGAGGTGCCTGAAAATTACAGAAGTCATCAGATTTCATAGGCCAGAGAAGAATGTAAAGAGAGGTGAAGGAGGATGAATGAGCAGATCTGTCCTTCCCACAGTTGTGTGCACAACTCTTTGCATTTGCTTCAGCTCTCAGACCCAAGTCATCGTCAGCTCTCTTCAGCTCATATGCAACTGCAGGTGGTCTCTGTCAGCAAGCACCAGACATGCTCAAGGAATTAGCTGTACAAGGAAAAGTCATACCAAAAGTATCTGTATGGACAGAGTGGGTCAGAAGAGTGGTCATCATATGCAGATTCAGCTGTTTCAAGCTTCTAACCAGCACTATCAGTAGCACTTACCACCACGTGAAATAAGCCATCTGATGCAGCCCGTGTCCAGTGGGCATCCATGTCATGCCATATCATCATCAGCTGATACTGTTTTGCCTGCACCATAAAACAGAACAGTGAAGCTAGCAGAAAGCTATGATTTCTGTCTCTTAATGGATGAGGACTAAGACATATTAGGAAGATCAAAAGGAAGGGTGATCCATTAGGACTGCTCAGCATACACAGAGGGGCTCTCACCTTCTGTAAGTAAATCCAGAGAGAGGAGGTTACCTGTTTCTTGGCACTTTTTGCTCTGTGCCTAATTTATAGCACACTGTATTCCCCACAAGTGCAAATGGGAATTTCCTGCCCATCCAAACAAGGACAGAAGCACAGAGCTGTGCTGCAGCATACTCACCACCAAAACCTGTAGCAAGCAGTTCAAAGGCAGTAGGGATGAGGCCACCCAGCGCACAGCATGCTTGCTTTCTTCTCCAATGGTCATACCAGATGTCCTTCCATGCATGGAAAAGACAGTGCCAAGGAACCTTTTAAGGCAGCAGTCTCTCTTACTATTACACTCTTGGGCTTAATGAAGTTATCAGTCACAAATCGAGTGGAAGAGCTCTGGACATGATCAAAAACAGAAAATTGGGAAGAAAATTACTGCATGGATAATAAATTGGGTTCCCATCTCCAAATTTTTAAGTGTATAAGTGCATTGAATTCTGTAGCTATTTCCTTCTATAACAGACGAGAAAGAAGAAACTTCGGATAGAAGTTTATAATATTTGCTTTACATAAATTTACCACCAAAAAAAAAATCTGATTGCATGTGAAACTCCCATTTTCACAGACTTTCATCCTTACCATTGAGATTCAGAGTCCCAAATCCTTTCAGGAAATTATTGACTAAAACAGCGCTATTGCAGTTAGCTCAGGCAGTGCAACAGTCTATACAAGTTTAGATACAAGACAAAATAATTATTAATACGTACCTGGTTCTTTTTAACTTATCTAGTCATTTTAAATGTATAGCATCAGTCAATCACCTGTATTAAAGAATAAATAATACTACCCATGGAACAAACGATAGTATGTGGATTATGACAGGCACAGAAATTTGTAATCTAGGATCTTGGGGGAGATCAGTGGGGCCAGCCAGACACAGCCTGAGCTTGCAGAGCATGTAACCACAGGGTCAGAAACATTTCCCCTTCTGAAGTAGCCATATATATCCATGTTCTCCTTTAGGATCCAGTGGTTTTGAGGACCAATATTATCATGCTTAAGGAACAATCTATTCTTATCTGTAAAGGAATAATCTGTAGGAACTAACTGCCACCTTTTTCAGAGCTGCCCATTCAGAGTCACACTCCAGAGACTCATGTTAATTGGAAGAGAAAATACATTCTGTAGTAAACTGACATATTGCAAATGCAGCAAATACTTGACACTTTTATGATTATGCTAATATTGTGACATTTAATATGTTTATTTATGTGAAGAAAAAAAAAACCAAAACGTAATGCAATTAAGTTCCATGAGAGAAAAAGAAAAAAAAAAAAAACAGAAGGAAACAAATCAATCACTGAGGCAGGAAGAATGAAAACTGCTTCCACCAGCTTTGGAAACAAACGTCTGTTAGCTGCTAGCAAACAACACGTTTGAACTAGATATTTCAGGAAACTTGTCAGTTTTACTCTGAAAGAGCATTGATAGGCTGGCTTTCAATTTTTAGCAGAAGCACTGGTTTGACTTTCACCTGTTCCCTCTACCTTTGAAGTATATTAGCACTCACCATCACATGAACACTTCCATCACTGAAGGAATTAAAAGAAAAAAAAAAAATCTGTTCTTCTTAGAAAGCTTCAAACTATGAGTAACCTTTTAATTTCATCCCCATTCAAAATGCTTTTCCTAGAGTTAGACTCCAAATTAAAACAGGAGAGGAGTAAGATTTATAGGTATCAATATAAATAACTGTTATACACCTTCCCCTCCTGCAGACTGGAAAAAAGATTAATAGGAAGGACCAGAGAACTGAATGAGGCACTACTGGAATGGCTCAATGCTTGACAGGAAAGCAAAATGGATCCATACTGTGGAGTCAATAAGAAACACAGAAGAGCACCTCTGGGGAAAGATTCAGAGAATAAGATGATTAGAACCATACCTTGGGGAGTTAAAGGGAGAAATCCCCAAATGCCTGGAGAACAGGCTGTTCCTGTCATGAAGTACCTTAACATCAAAGTGCAGATGGGAAAATCCACAGAGCTTTAGCAGAATCTTAGAGAGACAGAAGCAGTGCTTTCTGATAAACAAATCACAAAACCAAATATATCTACAAAAGAAGTTACAAAAGTCCAACCAATATATGACAGCAGACTCTTGAGAAGAACCAGAAGGGAAAGCAGCTACATAATTTTAGGTAAAAATCTACAGGAAATAGCAACAGCTTGATTACAGCAGTGCTAAGAAGATCCATCTAGTGTGCAAGATCCTCTGAAGGAGCAGCTCACTAAAAATACTGCAGTAACTTAATAGCAATGCTGGAATATAATTAAAAGAACACTGACAGCCCCAGAGACTGTTTAAATGGTGATGGATGGAAATCTCTTGTTAAAGCTAAATACTGGCCACGCTGAGTTTAATAAGTCTAACTCAGTGGAGTTATCAATGATGGTATCAAGAAACAGCTTAATTCCTTACATAATATACTGTCAAGGCAACAACAATAAGCTCAGGAAACTGCAGAGTGTGCCTAAAAAGTTTTTTTCCAGAAATCAAACTCATAGCCAATTATTAGAGAATCTTGAGTTAAATTCTGAAAATAAAGTTATAAAGATGAAGAAACTAGAAAAAAAAGGCAACTTTTGCTTATTTTCTCTGAGATAGTGTAAGATATCAGATTTATGTTAAAGAAAACTGGGCTAGAATTCAAGGGAAGAAGTTAAAAGATTATTCAAAGTCAAAAGGAATGAATCGGCATCACAGAAAGACTGCAAAAATACAAAGAATAATCCTTTTGGCATATTCAGAGACTCATACAAACTTTTTTCTGTTTCTTATAAAACGTGTACTCCTTACGTTTGTTAAATATCTTAGCATTTGGCTTTATTTTCAAATACATCCACTTTGGGAATAATAATGTGGAGCCACTTGTCCTACAGAAAGAGCTCCTTATAACTGGCATAGTAATTCATGGAACAGCTCTTTACCAGAATAGGGGAATAAAAAAAAAAATAGGGAATACCCCTCCTGCCTCTCATCCAAAGTAACACCCTTTCAAACTCACTTTCCTTCCTACACTCTAACACTACAACCAAAGCTTCTCAGGTTAAACATCCTTTTCTGATAACGTTTGAACACACAACTCCATGCCCCACATATTTCTTTTCTCGAGCTTAGTCTTTAATAAACACTTCTTGCTTTTCCTGGCTGCAAAGCCTTTGAGAAAGTTTGCTCTTTGGCTAGTGATGGTCAGAACTTCTCCCAGAGAAGAAACATTCTTGGGTAGGTCTATGCCAACATGTAGGTCCAGGTACAAGCAACTGCTTACCTGCAGGCATGCACTTAGAAATTTACTCCCAAGTCCCAGCTTCTACTAAATGTAGAAAAAGTGGAAAATTCTAAACCTTGGATTAAGTTCACTTTCCTAACCAAGCTCTGCCAGTGGAAAAAAATATGAAACATAATGCAGTGAACTGCCAGTCTTTAGGCCCACCATGAACTGATGTGGGAATTTAAAACCCAAACTAGACTACTGAGGTTTTTTAAAAACCCAAACTCATTATAATTAAAAGTAATTACAACCCCCATAGCTTTAAATCAAGGTTTGCTCAGAATGAAAACAGCTTCTGCTAAATTAAATTATTTTTCCCTGTAGGTGGTATGGTAAAAGTTGAACTAAATAAGGGAAATATATCAAAACACAAATCATGCAAACAGACTGGTAGATACACATTTTTTCTTAATACAACAGCATTGCAAACAGCAATTAATGAATTAGCTACAATTATTACAATACAGTCAAAGAACTAAAATTAAAAATAACCACTATACTTTCCAAATTGTCTGTGAGTTTCACTACCTTTGCTTTTGCATCACCAGCTATGAACAGCCAGACCTCTCATTTCAAAGTGCAAAATTCATTACCATGAAAACTAATGCCAGCTAATATTACCCAAAATTTCTAAATCTGATTCAGAATGCCACACCCTATTCCAAATTTAGAAACCCCTTTTGACTATATTTGCTGAAGTAGTTGAATAAAATCACACATTAATTTTGTAAAGAACCAAATAAGAAAACCCCAGAAAAAAAAAAAAAAAGTCAACTTCACCTGATTCTAACCTTTGTCTTAACAGTAAGTGCATATTTTGCCTCTGGTAGCTTCCTGCTATGCCATACAAGTTTTTCAAATTACTAATAACACAGTGCTTAGACCAAAAAAGATTAAACCTTGGTTGCACAAAACACAAGGGGAGTTCTGACATTAATTTCAATCAGGTAAAAATTAGCTTCTGGTGCAAAAATAAATGAGATGTGTGTATATAAAGTTATTTGTTATATTTCTTGTAAGGAATCACCCTTACCTTTAAATCGTTCTATAAAAAGATATATAATTGTTCAATTTTACTGATATAGTGATTAGTAGTTCTGCAAATGTTTTGTTTGGGATTTGCATTTTCTCATCAAAGCATACCGCTCTGCCTTCATATGCTGTCATCCTCTTTTGGATGTGACGGCTCAACACAGAGATGCCTGTGCTGTATCAAGAAGAGAAGGAAATTCATTAAACCACAAAAAAAACTTACATGCTAAACACAGACATCTTGAGTTAAGTCAAGGAGGCTTTTCAATGAAGGGAATTGTAGCAAAATATTTTGGGTTGACTAAACAGCATGTTTCAAAATTGAAGTTGCTGGCCGTTCTTAATAAAAACAGAAATTCCTAAGAGTGATGCAGAATGAAAATCAGCAGGGACTTCCAGCTTCCACTCCCAGTTTCTGACTTTAAAATGTTTTGATTTTGAAGTATTTTATAAAAGAGCTGCCAAGGATGTGCTGCAGACCCTCAGCCATGAGAGGGCAGTTGATAAAATGGAAAGTTCACTAAGGCCATTCATTAAGGAGTTCCTGAAATAGTCCTAGATTTTAATAGGTCTCTCACACCACACGAGAATAGTTAAGGAACTCCAAATTGATTTGGGTTGAAGGATCATAGTGAACAGAATTTGCCATCACTCTTCTTTTCTTAGACAGACATTGCAGACGGGGTTTAGTTGGTTGTTTTCCCCTCCCTCCCCATTTTTTTGTTGTTGTTTTGTGTTTGCATAGAAGGTCATCTTCCATCTTTTTGTCAAGATTTGAATAAGATCTGAGCAGTTCTGAATTCATTCGGGTACCAAAACTAACAGACAGTTCTTTGAATTGTACTGGTTTTACTAAAAAAGTTTTTACACAGATTTACTGATGGCCATCACCATAATTCTGTGATAGAAATCTCTCTTTATAAAATACTTTATAATAATAAAGTATTATCCTTATAAAAGACAACATGGCATACCACGGCTGTTCTTTCAGTGTAAATTTGCAGTTACCATTCATATCCTTCGTATAA